AAATGAGCCTCATGTCTGCAAGGTCTCATTCACTACCAATGAAGCCAGCTAGCAGCCGGTGAGACAGAGTTGCATGACTCTGGCAATGGGTAAAAAACAATTCATAAAATAGATTGAACACATTACAAGGAGTTTAGGTTTTATGTTAGTTATTAAACTGAAAAACCCTTTAAATGTTTTAAGTAGAAAGCAACACTATTAAATTTGCATTTACCAAGACTAACCAGAATAAATCAGATGGTAACAGAAGAGGAAAAGGAAGAGTTAGGAGATTCATGCAACGTTCCTGGTGAGGGATGTGGCAGCAAGAACTGCATTGTGTCAAATAAAAGAAAGGATAAAGAGAGGCAGAGGTATTTTTCTGATTTCCCCCATTCACAGATGAGCCACTCACGGATAAAGGGTTTAGTTTCAGTGGCCCGGTGACAACCCGGGCTTCCAAATGCCAGGCTGGAACTCTTGCAGGATTCTGAATCATAAAGAACAAATTTCTCTTTTTCTTTCCTAGTTATAATACTTTGTGTCACATATTTCTAAATACTTTACAAGTAGAAACTCACATATTTTTACCAATAAATGCATTTAATAAATTAAGGGACACATGAGAAATGAATGGAAGAGTTTGAAAACTTTACAACACAGCATATGATATATTTTCCTTCCACTTAACATAAAAAGATCATTAGACAAAGTACTATGCTTCACTGATACCTTCTGGTTAAAATTTGTGTTATTTTCCTTTTCTTTCTTTCTTTTCTTTTTTTTTTTTTGAATCAATGTCAATTTATTTTAATTATTCTTTTTTTAAAAAATTACAGTTTAAGTTCTAAGGTACATGTGCACAACGTGCAGTTTTGTTACATATGTACACATGTGCCATGTTGGTATGCTGCACCCATTAACTCATCATTTACATTAGGTATATCTCCTAATGCTATCCCTCTCCCATCCCCCAACCCCACAACAGGCCCTGGTGTGTGATCTTCCCCTTCCTGTGACCAAGTGTTCTCATTGTTCAATTCCCACCTAAGAGTGATAACATGCAGTGTTTGGTTTTCTTGTCCTTGTGATAGTTTGCTGAGAATGATGGTTTCCAGCTTCATCCATGTCCCTACAAAGGACATGAACTCATCCTTTTTTATGGCTGCATAGTATTCCATGATGTATATGTGCCACATTTTCTTAATCCAGACTATCATTGATGGACATTTGGGTTGATTCCCAGTCTTTGCTATTGGAAATAGTGCCAAAATAAACATACGTGTGCATGTGTCTTTATAGCAGCATGATTTATAATCCTTTGGATATATACCTAGTAATGGAAGGCTGGGTCAAATGGTATTTCTAGTTCTAGATTCTTGAGGAATCACCACCCTGTCTTCGACAACCGTTGAACTAGTTTACAGTCCCACCAACAGTGTAAAAGTGTTCCTATTTCTCCACATCCTCTCCAGCACCTGTTGTTTCCTGACCTTTTAATGATCACCATTCTAACTGGTGTGAGATAGTATCTCACTGTGGTTTTGATTTGCACTTCTCTGATGGCCAGTGATGATGAGCTTTTTTTGTGTGTCTGTTGGCTGCATAAATATCTTCTTTTGAGAAGTGTATATAAAAATTAATTCAAAATGGATTAAAGACTTAAATGTTAGACCTAAAACCATAAAAACCCTAGAAGAAAACCTAGGCAATACCATTCAGGACATAGGCATGGGCAAGGACTTCATGTCTAAAACACCAAAAGCAATGGCAACAAAAGCCAGAATTGACAAATGGAATCTAATTAAACTAAAGAGCTTCTGCACAGCAAAAGAAACTACCATCAGAATGAACAGGCAACCTAGAGAATGGGAGAAAATTTTTGCAATCTACTCATCTGACAAAGGACTAATATCCAGAATCTACAAAGAACTCAAACAAACTTAAAAGAAAAAAACAAACAACCCCATCAAAAAGTGGGCAAAGGATATGAATTTGTGTTCTTTTTCATCTGAGTATCTAACTTCTGGATGCATACATGTCTTTAGAGAATTCCTTTTAGAATTTTGTTTTTACTTTTAAATTCATCTTTGTACAGCAACAAAACTATAGGGCTTCTGAATTCAAAGGTGCTGTAGAGATTACTAAACTATACCACCCTTTATTTTACTGATACAGAGCTTGACAGAAAATGTGCCATAGAGAAGTATACTGAATAGTGTGAGGTCATTCTTTACTCAACTGGTGACAGAAAGGGGAAGAGACTCCTTCCTAGTAAATACGTGCGCACATGGAAATTTACATAGTTTATTATAAGTAATGTATCCCAGGGAGAAATAAGCTTTTCCACCCTCCTTAAGTACTTGAACATGAAGAAGTGTAGAATAATAAATTGAAGATAAGTGCCCAGGAAAAAGCGACTTTTCAAGGCAGGCCAACATTGCAGGCAAAATAAAATAATAAAATATGACAGAAGATAACTTTGGAATTTGGTTTCCTTAATTCTTCTTCCTTTAGAAGTTATATAAACACAAATTGAAAGTTTAAATTATTAAAATATTCTTTATTGTTTTCTGGCTATTGCACACATTTTATGATGACGTTAACGTATAATAAAAATCTGCATACTTTGTATTCCATAATAAGTAACCAGTCATTTCTTATGTGTTTTATTATTCTTAATAAATTTCGAGGTAAAAAATAAATAATGCTACTTCAGGTGCTGTTACGGATAGATATCTAGTCTGTGCATATAATATCTATCACGGATGACATCTGGCGTGGGATAGTAAACAGACATCTTACTATATGCAATTTTAACAAGGCCAATATCTTCCTGGGATATATTTCATACATTAAAAGCAGAGTGAAGCAGAGATGGGATAAGAGGATGGGTGCTGAGCTGAGTGTAGGTTTTGTTAGAGTCTACAGTCAGCTATTAGGTAATAAAATAATAGCCACTCACTCACTTTTACCACTTTGCAGTAATTCCAAAGCAATGAATCTAACAGAACCCCATGCAGAGATGGCTTCAGTGGTTTCATTTGGTAATGCAGAGTTAGGCTGAAGAAATATGAGTTAACGGTGTTTGCTAAACCCCACCAATAAAAACTCAATAGCTTTATTTTCTTCTGCAGAGAATCTGATATTCAATTTATATTCATGGGTTTCAAAGGAAAAAGAGTGAAAGTGAGGACAATCTGACATAAAAATGCTAAAAAGATTTCTTCTAGTATATCATTGTATTTTCAATGCTTCTGTCAGTCTGAGAACAGTCAGAACAAAAATATAATAATAACAAATAGCATGTCAGACGTTCAGCTGCTTCTTCCATCACAGGTGTGCCAGACAGCTGTTGATGTCACAAAGAGCAGGTTCAGATGGTGCAGTGATTTCCAAAAGAGAAGACGGAAAGAGTAGTCAGCATTTTTTTTTTTTCAAACAGTGGCTGCAAATTTTAATTGCTTGGGTAAATTTGTAAAAAACATGTATGTCCAAATGACCAGAGAATCTGATTAAATAGTCTGCAAGTGGGAAATGAGTATCTTTTAAACTTTCCAAAAAAATATCTAATATATAGGTAAAGGGAGAACAAAATATTCATATAGGAAGAGGCAGATAAAATATGTCAATTATATTCCATTTTAAAGAAAAGCTAAATTAGACATTTAAAATAATTGTAAGCTCTATATGGATCTCCTGACCGATATGAAGGAAACATGTTGATGCACATTAATTTACATCATTTAAAATGGCAAAATTGATAGAAAAAAAAAATGACAAATATGCCACAAGTTTTCACATACATTGTGATGACTTGCTTGGCTTTTCAGTGTATAGTGGATACGTACAATTCTATAATTATTTCCTATTTAAACACATTAGCAGGATAATTAAAGATGGGTTATATCAACAGTGACTCCTGTTGCTATTTTACTGACTTCTTACAACTTGTAATCATACATCCTCTCATCTCAAACTTTTAAATGTCTCAAATACTCGATTAATCTATATTAATGTCAAACCATGTGGCTGGATATATATGACAATCCAGATTGATAGGAATCTGTAATGACAAGGGGAATGTTTTGGAATGGATCCAGTTAGCCATGGAAAATCAAAGGTGAGAACATACAGGAAGCAGTGGGAAATGGGTGGGAGAAGATAATGTGGATATACAAGAAATATGTGGTTGTCCAGGCATGAGACAATCAGGGCCTGGATAGTGAAGTCAGGAAAGAGTAAGAAAGAAAGACCATGTTTAGAATAGACTTTTGAAGTACAATTTCTAAAAAATCAAAAGCTGATATCAGATATAAAGACCGAAGAAAGAAGTAAGATTAATTCTAAAGGTTTTGGTGAATGCTGAAGACATTTTCCAAAATCAAAAACAGAGATTGTGATATAAGGTCATTTGTAAGACAGTGGCACAGAAGAGAGAGGGAACTCAGAGAACTAGCCTACAGAGATGAGCAAATATACAAGTCCATCCCTCATCAAACAAAGATGAGAAAGCAGCCATCATGCTAAGATACGAGAAGGTCAAAGCATGAACAATATATTATTAATAAGTAGCTATAACTGCTGTGGCTCTAGACCCAAAGTGCCTCACAATGAATTGTTATCACTGTATGATCTATTATTTGCAGACAGCAGAGCAAGAGAGAATATTAATTAAAGCCATAAGCAAAGAGGTCCACAGTTACAGTGCGTTTTTGACATACTTGCGATTTTAGGGTGAACCATGAGTGACACAAACATAAAAGGTGTGTGGTGAGTTTCATTTTGAGTACCAATGTTAAGTTTGGACTAAATGCAGAATCTGTAAAATCTGTGGAAACGTCCTATGGCAAGAACCATTAGCAGGATGAACATGATAAATGGAAAAAAAGAAAAAAACACTGAATAATTGTTGAAAAGATTCAAATTGGTTTCTGAGTAAAGAATCCCCCCAAAATTTGTAGTAATAAGCATTACAAATAATCAAATAATATAAATAAAAATATTTCTTTTAAATTCAGGAATAAGCAAGAATGCCCATTGCCAATAAAACTCTTCAGAGTTTATCCTGGAGACCACAGATAAAGTAACGAGATGAGGAAAAAAAATAGTAAGTATGAAAAAATCAATTTTGGCTAAAATTAAACTTGTTAATGTATGCGAATCTTAAAATAAGCTTGTTCGGCTGGCGGCCTGTGGGTCACATGTGGCTCAGGACTGCTTTGAATGCACCCCAACACAAATTCGTAAACTTTTTAAAAACATTATGATATTTTATTTGTGATTTTTAGAAATAACTCATCAGCTATCATTAGTGTGAAGTCTGTTTTATGTGTGGTCCAAGACAATTCTTCCAGTATGACTCAGAGAAGCCAAAATAGTGAACACCCCTGTCTTCAAGGATTAATTTGAGAAGGACAATACATAAAAGGTGTTCAAAATTTGGATTTCTTCAAAAGCAGACGCCAAAAAGACCCAGGATTTTGGTAGTTTAATTGGAAGTTGATCCTAAGAAACAAGAAAAATAGCCCTCGAAGAGCAACACAGAGAAGGAAGGAAACTCAATACAGAAGCGTCAGGTAGGCTGCTGCTGAGTTTGGTGGGGCCTCTATTCCACACAACCTTGGGAAGATTGTATAGAATTGATACCAAAAGAGTACACCATGAGTACAGGAGTTGGGAGCATTCATTATCAATCCCCATTCCTCAGGCTGAGGGCTGCTTCTAATGATGTTATGTCCACATACTTCCAAGTCAGGCACAAATCCAGGCTGACCAAGTTTCCTTTGGCACCATGACACCAGAAGATTCCCTATCAAGTGAAAATGCTTAGGATAGATGAAGCCTGAAGTAGGCATCATGAAGTGAGACCATTCCTAAAGGGACTGTCTCCTAAGTGCAGGTGGAATCAGAGGTAGGGTCAAGGAGTCAGAGGCAGAGCTCCAGAGGAGTTGGGCACTATCAACAAACAAGCACCATGACTCCCCTTTACATCAGCAACACCAGTTGGAAAGTGTAGAGAACAAAAGGGAGACTTCATTGCTGTTTGCAGATGATTTATCTAAGAATAAAGATTATATTTGCTATTGTGGTTTCCTACAAATGTCTCTTTTCTTCCTTGTTTTCCTAACCATGCTTTGAGCAATGCAATTGATTCATTTACATGGGACATTTTTCTCACCATTCCACACTGCCCTCCTGCCCCTCAGCACCAAAACTTTTGTCAGGATGAATTTTAAAATCCTATCCATGCTTTAAGGCTCAAAGCAGAACATCTGCTTTAGGACATCTTCATGATTCCCCAGGTAATATTCATGCTCATGTTGTCTTCTCCGATAAAAGCGATATAGCTTAACTCAGTACAGTGTATTTCTGTTTTTTTTTTTTTTTTGGATGGACTCTCACTCTGTTATCCAGACTGAAGTGCAGTGGTGCGATCTCAGCTCACTACAACCTCTGCTTCCAGGGTTCAAGTGATTCTCGTGCCTCACCTCCCAAGTAGCTGGGACTATAGGTGTGCACCAACACTCCAGCTAACTTTTGTATGTTTTGTAGAGATGAGGTTTCCTCATGTTGCCCAGGCTTCCTAAATCCTGGCCTGAAGTGACCTGCCCACTTCAGCCTCCCAAAGTGCTGGGATTACAGGCATGGGCCACTGTGCCCAGCCACACACTGTATTCCTTTTACAGTCAGACCATCAACAATCATACAAGGAGTCTCACCTACATTACTTTTACACAGGGCTGGCTACATAATATCGGGGTGTAGTACAAAATGAAAATGCAGAGCTCCTTGTTTAAAAATTAGGAAAACAGTGCGGTAAAAGATACCAAGGTATGAAGCTTTTAATTCCTTGCATGGTATCTCTTGACTTGTCATGGTGTTTTTTACTCGCTGTTTGATATCATTTTAAGTATATGAAAATGAAATTTCAAATTATTAGACAAAATTGTGCATTCCACTTTACATATTGTGAAATTATACTTTGAAAACCAAACATAAGAACATTTAACTCATATGTGGAATCATTAAAATTACATAATTTATATTTCATAGCTTATACATGCACATGTATTTTATTCTCACTAGAATAATGTAAACACTGTGCAAAATAAAATCAACTGTTTTTGTTGGATTTGGTATGTACCTTTTCTGGCAACACTTTGTACCTGTGGTTTAATAATGTGGAAGACAAAACTGAAAAGTGTAGTTTCCCCTTTTCTTCTACATCGTCGCCTCAGCTAAAGTGATTGGCTAATACAGAAAAGGAACATGAGGAATAAAGAATATGAGTTCCTAGTCACTTCATGCTCTTAGAACTCCATTGCCTTCTTTCTGCAAGTTCGGGGTTGAATGGAAAGCTAGGCTTCTTGGTGTCATCAGCAACCTGTGTAGTCCTACATGGAACACACGCTTGTCTTGTACTTGCTTTGAGTCTGGTTAAACTCCTTCATGTCTTGGAGCCATTGGCATTCCATGATCAAGGTGCATTGCTAGGTAAAGCTTAATTCTGTGTTTACACACTTGCTCCCTGGTCCTATTGGACTTCATTTAACAAACATAAGTTCAAAGATAAAATAAAAATTGTAATACAGCTACAGCAAAGCATAAACCAATCATGGGGCCTGCTGAGCATGGGGCCAGTGTGACCACATGTACCACCTGCTCATCTGTAAAGCCAGTGCTGCTTCCACGCATAGTTCTGTAGCAGAGGCCCATTTTCTTCAAATGACTGTTCCCTGACCCTGAGAGCAGGGGGTTGAAGAAATCCATTACATGGCCCAGCATTTTAGAGGAAAGCTTTATCTCCAGAAGGTACAAAGCAAACAACAAAACAAAACAAAAAAACAAAGTTGCAGATGCTGAGTTTCTGCCTAGAGTCTCCAAGAACTCACAGCCAATTTGCTGAGGGCACTATTTGACCTGGGGTTACAGCTCCAGTCTCTGCCTTGATTAGTGAATGTTTTTCTCTGTTATGGTGAGTTAAACTGGACACTTGCTTTTTTCTTCTTGTTTTTCATTTGTAAGTAATTGGTTTTTAAGTAGCTACTTAAATTCCATTTGGTCAACTATTGATAGAAATTGCCAAACCTGATTAAGAAAGTCATCATTTTGCTAGATTTTCATGAACGCTTTGCTCAGCTGAATACAGACCCTTCTGAACCTTTTTCTGTGCATTTTTGTGTTCTGAGATTTTTAGTACAATGTGTGTTGGAGACTTTCTAGGTAATAATATAAAATTGAATTCACTTCACTTCCACTTAATTAAAAATTAAAAGAGTGAGGGCCTACAATATACTAAGTTGCCTTAGATTTGTAAGTCTTGATCATTTTCTATGAATAATGAAGATCTAATATTTAACAGAATTACCATGATAATTACTAAAACTCAAACTACAAAAGCACCTAACACAATTGCTGACTCATGGTAAATACACACCTGAAAGGTGTGTGCAGAGGCCGTGGGGGAATGCAGAGTGGATGAAGGTACTGCCTCTAGTCTTAAGTGACTTCCAATTTCACATCTTGTCAGTGAAAAATATGACATGACTGTGCAGTAGTATAGAGCAAATGTAACTTCATAACTTTATATGAAGGTCTGCCACTGCAAGTAGCTAAGGCTTATTTTATACATGCATGCTTACATACATACATGCATATATACTTCTAGTTGACCCCTGAACAATGCACGGGTTAGAGGTGTCAATCCCCAGTGCAATTGAAAATCCTCATATTGTTACAGGACCCCACCACTTACCCAAAGTCGGTGGTTTCCTCACTATAGTCCCTTCTGTGCTCACCAGAAATATGTTACAAAACCCCACCACTTACCCAAATGTAGCTGTTGGGTCGAAGTTTCTGCACGGCAGTCCCTTCTGTAGTCATCAGAAATATGTCACAGGAAAGGGATCCAATCCAGACACCAAGAGAGGGTTCTCGGATCTCACGCAAGAAAGAATTCAGGGAGAGTCCACCGTGCAAAGTCAAAGCAAATTTATTAAGAAAGTAAAGTGGTGAAAGGACAGCTACTCCGTAGACAGAGAAGGACATTCCCTAAAGTAAGAGGACAAATGCGTCCACCCTAGAAACAATGCTAGTATATATGGGGAGATGTGCTCTGTTACAAGGGTTTGTGATAAACGATTAATTTTCTTAATTATTATATATTGCAAGAATCAATATCATTATCTTCCAAGCAAAATTAGGAATGCCTTTGTTCTCTGGGTATCAGGATATCTGGACACTCCCAAGTCCGGGTCTGTTTAGTAAACATTATTAATTTTTTCCTTTACCTGTAAACATCTAGAGGCTCAGAATGCTTAACTTTCTGGGAATGCAGCCCAGCAAGTCCTAGACTCATTTTCCTAGCTCTCATTCAAAATGGAGTCACTCTGGTTCTAGCGCCTCTGATAATATTACCTTTGACTTTCCAAAAAACTAAATTACTAATTGCCTACCATTGACCAGAAACTTTATGGATAACAAAGCAGCTGATTTGATACATAAGAATACATATGATACATATAAACATGTTATATTTATATGTTATACGTACTAGATACTATCTTCTTACAACAAAAATGAGCTAGAGAAAATAAAATGTTGTTAAGAAAATCCTAAGGAAGAGAAAACATATTTACTATACATTATGTGAAAGTGACACAATGTTAAGGTCTTTATCCTCATCTTCATGCTAAGTAGGCTGAGGAGATGGAGAAAGAAGAGATGGAGGCAGAGGAGGAAGAAAATCCTCTTATACTTGGACCTGCGTGAATCAAACTCGTGTTGCTCAAGTGTCAGAGGCATTCGAACCACAGTGACTCCATTTTGAGTGAGAGGTGGGAAAATGAGTCTGGGACTTGTCGGGCTGCATTCTCAGAAAGTTAGGCATTCCTAGCCTCTAGATTCTTATGGTTAAGGGAACAAATTAATAATGGTTTGTTTTGTTTGAGACGGAATTTCGCTCTTGTTGCCCAGGCTGGAATGCAATGGTGTGATCTCGGCTGACTACAACCTCCACCTCCAGGGTTCAAGCGATTCTCCTGCCTCAGCCTCCCAAGTAGCTGGGATTACAGGCATGCACCACCATGCTCAGCTAATTTT